TCCATTGAGTTTTTCAGGGTTGACTGTTGATAATAACAGTATCATTTTTCTATCGCCACATTTGAAAAGCATGAGTGTTTTAAAACTAATTTTTCACTAATGTGTATTTTGCATATTTCTCATGGAATTTTTTTTCATTGGATTTTTAAAAATCTTAACAAATTAAAAAAATTTTCAATTACAGTTGGAATACAATATTATATTACTTTCAGGTGTACAACATAGTGATTAGACACTTATATAACTTACAAAGCGATTACCCCGATAAATCTAGAACCCATCTGACACCATATTTATTATAATATTATTGACTATATTCCTTATGCTGTACTTTACATTTCCATGACCATTTTGTAACTACCAATTTGTACTTCTTAATCTCTTCCCCTTTTTCATCCATCTCCCTAATCCCCCTCCATCTGGCAACAATTAAACTGTTCTCTGTACCTATGAGTTTGTTTCTGTTGTGTTTATTTGTTTGTTTTTGTTCTTTAGATCCCACATATAAGTGAAATCATATGGCATTTGTCTTTCTCTGTCTGATTTACTCTACTCAGCACAATACCCTCTAGGTCTATCCATATTGTTGCAGATGGCAAGATTTCAATCTTTTTTTATGGCTGAATAATATTCCATTGTATATATGTACCACCTTTTCTTTATCCATTCATATATCGATGTACACCCAGGTTGCTTCCATATCTTGACTATTATTGTAACTAATGCTGAGATGAATATATGAATTCACATTTTCCTTCGAAGTAGTGTTTTGGGTTTCTTTGGATAAATATCCAGAGTGGGATTACAGGGTCCTTCTTTGTCTCTTGTTTTCAAGTCTATTTTGTCTGGTATGAGTATTGTTGCCCCAGAGTTTTGTGGTTGTTTATTTACATTTTCATGAAATATCTTTTTCATCCCTTTACTTTGTGTGTCTTTCGATCTGAAGCGAGATCCTTGTAGGCAGCATATGTAAGGATCTTGTTTTCTTAGCCATTCAGTCATCCTATCCTTTGATTGGAGCATGTAATCCATTTACATTTAAAGTAATTGTTGATAGATAAGTAGTTGTTGCCATTTTATTATTCATATCTTTGATATTTTTTTTCTTAAAGAAGTCCCTCCAACATTTCCTGTAATACTGGCTTGGTGGCGATGAACTCCTTTAGATTTTTCTTGTCTGGAAAGCTCTTTATCTGTCCTTCACTTCTAAATGATAGCTTTGCTGGGAAGAGTAACTTTGTATATATTTTAACTCATTTGTATCAGGGTAGTTTTAAATGAAAAAGTTATTCTAAATGAGTTCTTTGTCTTTAACCTTTGGCATTTTAATCATGATATGTTTGGTGTGGGCCTCTTTGGGTTCGTCTTGTTTGGGACTCTCTGTGCTTCCTGGGCTTGTATGTCTATTTCCTTTGCCAGGTTAGGGACATTTTCCATCATTATTTCCTGAAATAGGTTTTCAATTCCCTGAACTCTCTCTTCCCCTTCTGGTACCCCTATGATGCAAATGTTGGTACGCTTGATGTTGTCCCAGAGGCCCCTTAAACTTTCCTCATATTTTTGGATTCTCTTTTCTTGTTGCTGTTCTAATTGGGTGTTTTCTGCTAACTCATCTTCAAAATTGCTGATTTGATCCTCTGCTTCACTTAATCTACTGTCTATTTCTTCTAATTTATTCTTTATTTCAGTTATTGCATTCTTCACATCTTATTATATAATGGTCTCTAGCCTGTTGCAAAGAAGGTGTTTTTCTTTTGGTTTCCAGTAGGTGGCGTCTAAGCCTCTTGGATCTCTGCTTTATACAAAGTCTTAGTAATGTCTTTTTCTTATAGATGTTTAATCATGCTCGCTACCCTCAATCTCAGTTCCTGTCAGTATTAGCGACAGTTTCATTAGCATTTGCTCAGATTCTCTTGGGGTTCTGTAGTGTTCCATC